ATATATATATATATATATATATATATATATACAGGTATACAATTTAGTAATAAGGTAATTTTCCTTTATACATAGCAATAAACATTATAACTTTAATAAAAATGCCTTTCCTTCAAACAATTATTCACAGAATTGTTATAACATTTTTATATTAATTTGAGGGAAAAAAACAAATGTATTATATATACAAACGAGATTCGTTTCTATCGTATGGGATTTAAATGCAATTACAACGATTACAAATAGAAAAGGTATTGAGATCTGCTTATTATAAATGAACATATCTCGTTTAAACAGAGTATTTTATAGGAAAATAGTATTTTTGGTTGCCTATATTTTTTAAAATCTACTCAAAACCAATAAGCGGGTGTTTTAGAATATAGAGGCAATTTTGGAATAAATGCTGCTATGTATAACACAGAATCTTCATAATGTGACTTTCTTTGGTTCGGTTATTAGACAAAAAATATCAGTCATATTTCCAATAATGCCATAATTTAATATAAACTATCACATTCGATGGAAATTTGACTATATAATATGGAATGCACAAAAAATAATTAAAATTATGATAGATCTATCCAATTAATTTATTTTTAGAGGCCAGAAATAATAATTACAGAAATAGCATACATTATAATTTTTAGTTCAATATTCACATCAAATATTGATTTGTGCAGCATAATTCTGATAATGCATGAACAAATATAATTTTAATAACGACATAGAGAATTGAGTACATCAAAAAAGTTCTTTTTTCAATATCAAAATTCATTTTACCTTTTTCATTCATTACTTTTTTTAATAAAAAATAAATAAATAGAAATAATTAATAAATAAAAAGATAAAAAACCGATATTAGGAAGGTATATTAATCTCATCTCTGGCCACAATGATTTTCAATTAGACAGTCCTATCATGTTATGATATGATCCTTATATGTCTACAATTACAAAATAAACTTCATTGTCATTGTTTAACAAATTATTATAATTATTTGATACTGATTGCATTGTCATTTGCGTATAACGTCTCCTGAAATATTAGAAAAGATGAGAAAGAATCTTTTCTAATATTTTCTAATAGGTAAAAATAATCCCTGCAGCAGTTTTGCCGTTAAATACATCTTCAACTTAAAAAAATATTGATTTTATTTAAATCGATTATTAAAATATTAATTTAGCATACCCCTATGTTCCAATGAATCTCTCAAAGTTTGGAAAAGTTGCAGCTGTTGTTCTGGTTTCAAACTATAAACCTAAATAAGAAAATATATGTTTTAAAGAACTATATTAATTCATTTTTTGTATTAATATATAATGCAAAGATAACAATATTATTATTAAAACTTTTATTATAAATTATTCTTTCTCTGCTATTTTACCTGTTGCAATAACTTTTGAGGGGTTGCAGTATGGATAAATGAAGAAATATACACATTCACAAATGTTGCCATCAAATACTGACAATCAAATCTATCCATTATTCCACCATGACCAGGAATTACATCACCGAAATCCTGTAAAATCGTAAAAAAAAATTGTATCGATATAATAATATATAAATTTGATAAATGAATTAATAACATTAAATTACCTTAATCTTGAATGCTCGTTTGAATCCGCTAGCAAAAAATCCTCCAAATGGTCCAATTACAGAGCTGAATAATGACATCGACAACGAATGCAGAATAAACGGATACAACGTCAAAGTAGATTTTCCATTTAACTGCACATATTGAAAAAAGATTGAGCATCTATATGATTGACAAAGTATTTCATATAAAGATCATATTACCATTCTTGATATCACTTCAAGACTCTTTGGCAATGTATATTCTTGTGGTTGGAACAAACTCGACGGCTCGCAATCCATAGTCATTCTTCCTAGAGTTTCGCTGTACTCAATAGGACAAACGAAGTAGCGATATTGACACATAACGTATGACATCTAAATAACAATACGACATTAACACATAATCAATCTTATTTTCATTGGCTATTAGCATGAAATATATTACCAGTAATCCAAGTATGACAGTCGAAATACCACCGCCAATAAAACCTTCCCAGGTCTTTTTTGGAGATAATTTTATTAATGGCGTTCGTCCAAAAAAGAAACCAAACATATATGCCATTACATCATTTATGACAATCATACTGACAGGTACAATAAACCTAAAGACAATTGATACAATTAATAAAATAAATAAATATTTGTATGTTTATAATGGTTTTAATAAATAATATACAAACCATATCAATCCTTCGAATATATTCTGAATAATAAGATAGCTTTGTGTCACAACAATAAGTAATGCTACGTGCGTCCAAGCGAATAGCGAAAATTGTTTCATGTAATATTTTTTCACAAGCGAGAGTACGAACCATACAAAGCCAACAATATAAAGACAGAATGAGATAAATCGATGGTATGTAACCAGCACACGTAGATATCCCTGAAGACGTAATAAAAATTCTAATTATTATACTTATTTTATTATATATATATATATATATATATATATATATATATCAATATATTCTTAATGTTTTCTATTCTATTATTTTTATATTAAGTAACTTTAATAAGGAAACCTAATAGAAAACGAAGCCATAACAAAAGTATTGAGATAAGACTTGTCAAGGTTTGATTATTGATTTAAACTAATACTACTGACGATATATAGATGCATTTTATAAACGGGTTTTTTTTCTTTCTGAAAACATAAATAAATGGTACAGTAGAAAAATTGCGCATAGAGGTTTATATCTTATACAAGTTAATAAAATTGTGAAGATTAATATCTTTTTTATGAATCTCGTGATTCTTGACTTAAATAATCTATTAATTTAAACTGGAAAAGAAATAATACTTACCGTTCGATTAATCACCACTGCAAAGTAGTCCATTAAATTTTCTCCATAAAAAAAGTAATTTGAAGTTATTAAAAAATACCACGATAAAGATCTGAACCATGGTAGACCGTGAATTCTATATACAGCGTATCCAATATTAATAATCTCCTCGAAGCATTTCACTTGCACAATCAATGTCTATAAAAAGAGATTTAAATAAATGTTAATCTTCTATACTACATTTGTATATGGAATATTCTAGAATACGCGCACATAAAATATACAATCCGATTTTTTGTACTAAAAGAAATAACTTTTCTTCTGTGACAAAATTGTATCTAAATAATAGTTTCTAAATAAAGATAATTTAAAGATAACGCATGAGTGCTTTATATTACATAAGAATCAGAGACAGCGCGTGAAAGATATGTAATGTTGTATTAAAATGTTATTTAAACTTCATAATAACTATGCATGATATCTTATATCTTGTATCATAGTTGTATCATAGTTTACAGAAATAATGAAACCGAAGTGATAAAACAGTGTTCAGCATGCTTTACTGTGCATTAATTTTAATACAAAACATTCATTAATTTTAATTTAAAATTACTGCTCAAACGTAGTTTCCAAAGGAAAAAGTTATTCTTTTTGACACCGAGAATTGTATTATGTGTGTAAAGAACTGTCTAAAATGTAGATACTAATGGTAAATTATATCACTCTTATCGATTTCCTGTACTTGAAATAATAAAAAAAATCTATTTCTTTTTATGATATAAAAATTAAATTTCGAACAAAATTTTGTAAGAGGAGAAGTCCAGAAAAATCTGGAATGTATTTCTTTTAAAGAACAAGTAATTGTTTCAAATTATTTTTTGTTACATTTAAGAAAATACATTACACTACTTAATTGTATAAATATTTAAAGAAAAACTTACCGTTACCATTAATGCTAACGGACCTCCATAAATAATGAGGCAAAAACCAGCTATCATAAACCATGTAAAAATAGTTCTAATTATCCAATTTCGCCAACTGCAAGAAACCGCAATGTTACAAATTTATGTCAAATTAAAACAAATAATTGTATGTTACAAACGAGAACACGAGAATAATGTATTCTTTACCGATCTGGAAGACCGGAGAGAACAGAACTTAAAATATGCGGAGTATGATCAGTTCCTTGAGGTAAGGTCTTTGCTAGCTCTTCTACTTCCAATTTCGCATCATCTTCAGATTCGACATCTTCTTTCTGAGAGAAAGAGCAAAGAAATAATTGATATAAATTCTTGTGTGTTACAGTTTCATTATAACACATACACATACACATACATCCTGAGATGCACACATGTGCATCTTATTATATGTATATCTTATTAAACATTAATACATATTAATTAATATCCAAGAAATTCATTAAAATTTATATAAATGAATAACAAAATACATATATATTATTCCATAAATTTCCATAAATTATGTAAATGTTATATTTTTTAAATTTTACGTACACAAATAATTTTATTTTATTTATATATATAAAATTTTACATCTTTTATATAAGGCAAATAAATTTTGGTTTACAAAGAAATTTTAGTATATTTAAGATAAATAAATATAATTAAATTTAGTTTCAGCGTTTTATTTATTAATTAATAGCAAATATTTGATATAAATTATTTTTCTATCATCGTCTTTTGCTTCTAATTTCTCTCACTCTAATTTGTTCTAAAATCTTCGAGTATAATACGGATTATATTTTGTACCGTGCCGCGTGCGCTTTAAAATGTATTTATGATCGTTGAATTTTTAATATTTAGATATGCATGTACTCAAAGTTCAACAACTATAAATTTAGAAGCTAGGTGAAATTATTCCAAAATTTTCCATGTGCTACAAAACATAATATGTGTCGCGTGCAAGGGTTTTAAAACAACTAATGGAAAAATATAATGGAAAAATAATTGCAACATATGCAATAAATTTTTACTATTAATTGATAAATAAAACGTTGAATTTATTCGTTCTAAATATACTAAAATTTTTTCGGAGATTCGGATTTTTTTGTTAGAATATATTTCCTTTTCTCGATCAGTATATGTATAATTATTTTAAAATAGTGCATATTATATGCACATATAAAATAAATTTTTATGTACATGTTGATTTAATTTCCACATTCCACGCAATTTAATTTCCACATGACTCCACGCGATTTCCAGTTTATAATTTGTTTATAATTTATTTTCCAGTTTATAATTTTTTTTCATCTCTTGATTCCGTTTTATTTCATCTTCTTTAATATTAAAGGAATATATAAGATATCTGTTGTACATCCTTTTAATATCAAAGAGAATGAAATAATTAAACAAAATTAAAAGACAAAACGTCAAAATGTAGACTGGAAATCACCTGTTATATGAAAATGAAACCGCGTCAACAGGGTCGAGGGCACGCGAGGGCATTTTTTTCTAATTAAAAAACGTCGAGTAAGCGTCGCAATTGCTGCGGGATCAGGTGATAGGAAACAAAGGAACGGGTATGATAGTAAAAATGCGTTAAAGGTTAAAGGTTTTTCCCGTTTTTTCCTCTCATGGTGAAGCTCCATATGATTCAATACGCACAGCGAACTCAACATCAGTTTTTTCAATTTTTTTTCTCGTTTTTTAACACGCTCCACACGTTGATCATTAACACATTATAATTTATTTTCCAGTTTATAATTTTTTTTCATCTCTTGATTCCGTTTTATTTCATCTTCTTTAATATTAAAGGAATATATAAGATATCTGTTGTACATCCTTTTAATATCAAAGAGAATGAAATGATGTGTAATACATATCTATAATTACTTATCTATAAAATTTGATTAATAACAGCAAAAAAACACGTGCACGACAAAGTGCACATGACAAACAAATAAACAATTCCCTTTATCACATATTTCAATTTTGATTTTTACTGTTTTTTTTTTCTTTATAAAATAAGTGTAACGTAAACAAGAAATTAGTTTAAATACGTCTAACACATATTAAAAAATTTTTTAGTTAATAGCTAATGTACGTTAACTATCAACTAAAATACATCCGGCGGAAGTATTAAATAAGAAATCATTGAGGAAAACGTTGTATCTCTTCCGCGTTTATTTTAATCTACGGCAACCCGGATCTCTCTCGCTTGTCAGGCAGCTGATCTACCACCGAGACAGCCCTCTTCCTCCTCCTTCTCCACCCCCGAGAAGACGCATTATCATTTCGCATGTATATACGTGATTATCTATGGCATGCGAGAATCGAGCGCGCTCTGTGTGTGTGTGTGTGTGTGTGTGGTGTGTGT